ACACACACACATATATATGTATATGTGTGTGTATTACATATAAACATTCTCCTTTTTTATTGATCAGTACTATATTTTCCCCCGTTACTAGGTGAGTCTGATGCCCAGAAGCAGCATGACGTCAACTTCCTGCTTCATAAGATCTACGGGAATATTCGTGACTCTGACCTAAAAGCCAAAGCTGATTCCTTTGACCCCGCGGCCGATTTATCCCATTACAGCGATGGAGGTGAAGCTGTACAGAAACTTGTTAGAGACCTTAAGGATGACAGGCTTCTCCAACAGAGGCACTGGTTCTCTCTCTTCAACCCGAGGCAGCGTCATGAAGCACTCATGCTTTTCGATGTTCTCATTCACTGCAAGGACTGGAATACATTTGTCAGCAACGCTGCCTACTTCCGTCAGCATATGAATGAAGGAGAGTTTGTCTATGCTCTGTATGTTGCAGTCATCCACTCACCTCTGACTGAGCACGTTGTACTTCCTCCACTCTATGAGGTCACGCCTCACCTCTTCACTAACAGCGAAGTCATTGAATCAGCTTATCGTGCCAAGCAGACACAAAAACCTGGTAAATTTAAGTCTAGTTTCACTGGAACCAAGAAGAATCCTGAACAGAGAGTAGCCTATTTCGGAGAGGACATTGGAATGAACACTCACCACGTTACCTGGCACATGGAATTCCCATTCTGGTGGGACGACAAATATACCATCATCTGGATCGCAAAGGAGAGAACTTCTTCTGGGTACATCATCAACTTACCGTTCGCTTTGATGCCGAACGTCTCTCCAATTACTTAGATCCCGTCGAGGAACTTAGCTGGGATAAACCCATCGTACAAGGTTTTGCTCCTCACACCACTTACAAGTATGGCGGTCAGTTCCCCTCTCGTCCAGATAATGTAGACTTCGAGGATGTGGACGGTGTTGCTCGCATTCGAGACTTGCTTATTATCGAGAGCCGAATTCGCGATGCTATTGCCCACGGTTATATTGTCGATAAGGCTGGCAATCACATTGACATCATGAATGAGCGTGGAATCGACGTCCTTGGAGATGTTATTGAATCATCTTGTATAGCCCTAACGTCCAGTACTATGGAGCTTTGCACAATACTGCTCACATTGTACTTGGTCGACAGAGTGATCCTCATGGAAAGTACGCTTTACCCCCTGGTGTACTAGAACACTTTGAAACTGCCACCCGTGATCCTAGCTTCTTTAGGCTGCATAAATACATGGATAACATCTTCAAGGAACACAAGGACAGTCTCCCTCCCTACACAGTGGAAGAACTACATTTGCCGGTGTAAGTGTAGACAGCGTAGCAATTGAAGGCAAACTAGAGACCTACTTCGAGGACTTCGAATACAATCTTATTAACGCCGTCGATGACACTGAACAGATTGCAGATGTAGACATTTCTACTTATGTGCCTCGTCTCAACCACAAGGACTTTAAAATCAAAGTTGATGTTAGCAATAACAAGGGCGAGGAAGTTCTAGCTACCGTGCGCATTTTCGCCTGGCCTCACCTCGACAACAATGGTATCAAGTTCACCTTTGACGAAGGCCGTTGGAATGCCATTGAACTGGATAAGTTCTGGGTCAAGTGTAAGTACCTTGTGTTTTGCCTTTCTGCAATACTTTATTGATATTCGTATAACCAAAGGCACAGTGAACTTTCACTTGCTCAGACTTAAAGTCGATTAAGCAGTATGTTCTGTTTGATATAACCATAGGTGCAATTTTGGATTGCCACTTTCTTCCCTTCTCCCTACGCACACACATATATACATATTCATAGGAATATTTATAATCTACATTTACTTTACTTTTATATTCCATTTCTACAGTGCCTGGTGGACACACCATATCGAGCGTAAATGCTCGGAATCTGCTGTTACTGTGCCTGATGTGCCTAGTTTTGCAACACTCTTTGAGAAGACCAAAGAAGCCTTAGGTGGAGCAGACTCCGGACTTAAAGATTTCGAGAGTGCCACTGGTATTCCAAATCGATTCCTCATCCCAAGGGTAATGAACAGGGTCTGGAGTTCGACCTTGTTGTTGCCGTGACTGATGGCGCAGCCGACGCAGCAGTGGATGGCCTCCACGAAAACACCGAATTCAATCATTATGGTTCCCATGGCAAGTACCCTGACAATCGCCCACATGGCTACCCTCTGGATCGCAGGGTTCCCGATGAACGTGTATTCGAAGATCTTCCCAACTTCGGCCACATCCAAGTTAAGGTCTTCAATCATGGCGAGCATATCCAGCATTAATAGGAAGCTATTTTAACTATATATCCCATATACATTCGATCATGAAAAGTGATCAGGTATTATCAGATAGGTAGAGTTTTCAACCATCGTCAGCATGCTCACCTTCACTGGATGTTTTCTAACGGAATTAAAGGGTATGAATTTTGCTTTGATATTAAGAGTGAAAATATGTAGTCTATTTCTTTCTGTATGAAGAGCTAATAAAAGATGTAGCAAT